AGAAACAGTCTTTGGAGCTGGGAAACAACCAATTCTCATTGCTCTTTCTGCCCACTATATTTTCCTAGATTTGACCTCAGAGTGGTCACTGCCTTATTTTAAACTTCAATGAAAGGCACATCATTATTACTTCTTTCTCACAAGACATCTGCTAAGAAGCAGACTAGCAGGAAAAATATAATGAAAGCTAATTAGAAAGCTGGATCTCATGAAATTGAAAATATAATACTGCAACCCCAGAAGGTCATGGTGGTCAGAACAAGTGTCCTGAAAGGTGGATGCCCAGGACAGCTGAAGTTCAATTCTGAAGTTATGGCATTTCTGCCTTTGTTAGTTCAAACCTGGAAAGGGATTTTTCCAAATGGATACATTTGGGATATGTTAATGTAGGAACAATGCAGAGATGAGAAAGCACCTATTTGGAAAGATGAGTGAGTTCAGAATTTTTAAGGTATCTAAGAATTGCACTGAGACTGATTATTCAGTTTAATGCAGGGGAACTAGAAACTCCTGTTAGGAAAAAAAGCCCAAACATTTCCCAACTGCTTCTTCCCACTCTGTTGGGACCTGCCTGCATTTTGTCTTGGGCAGGGATTGGGGCAGCCTTTCCCCAGCCACTGCATAAGATTCAACTTAAACCTTTAATTCTGCATTTGGGGGTGATGGAAACAGGCTCTGCATGCTCCTTGCCTCTTGGCCTCACCCTTGAGCCCATTCACAGCCTTCTTGCTGCTATCCATTAGAACAGCCTGGTAGAGCCCTCTGTGTCACCCATCCTGCCTGGGGAACACTGGGACACTCCTCCAGGTGTTCAGGGATGCCAGCAGCAGGTGGATCTGGTTGGTGCACAGGATATCTCTGCAGCCAGCACAAAGCACAGTCTGGGTAAGATCTCTGCTTGCTGTGATATTGTTTGCAGAGGAAAAAGAGGAAATATATTTCACAAGAGAGTGGGAGAGCACCAGAATATCAATACAATGCTCACAAAGCAAGTTTAATCCATTTTTAGCCTGTAATAAACAATGAAGTCTGTGAAACCTTGACAAGAATACATTGTGCATCCTCAAGGAGGACAACACAACAGGATATGTGGGAAAGAAAAGTTTGCCTGTAGCATGAGAAGAACACAGAGTGGAGTCTGAATATCTTCACCAGCTCATGGGACTCTGGAGTGAGCTTTGCTGCAGAATCACAAACAGAAATGAAGAATTCACTGTGTGCAGCTGGCACATACAGCTCCTTTTGCAAGAGATAATAATGGCACTTTGGGCTGGCCTGTTTGGGGTAGAGTGAATTTCCCTCCTAGCAGCTCAAAGGATCCTGTTGTAGGTCTGTGACCAAAATGTTTTTTGTAAACACACTGATCATTTTGATAATGAACATCTTGCTTAGCAACAAAAAGGGGAAAAAGAGAATTTAGTTAGATTAGTCATCTTTTGTTTGAGATGCAGCTGGGTATTGGTCTACCTGTGGGACATGGTGAGTGGTTGCCTTTGTCTCACTTCTTTTGTTTTCTTTTAGTCATCTTCTACTGCTTCCATTTTGAAATTTTTTTCTCTTGATCATCAAATTTTCTTGCTTTTATTTGCCCTTTCCTCTTCCCCCAGGCCCCTGGAGTGCAGGCTGGAGGGCAGTCAGGGGATGACTGTGCTGTGTTGGGCTGAACACTGGGGTTAACCCACACCCACAGCACACCTGGAACACACCGTGGAAACCTCTTTGTCCGTCATTGTGGCAGCTGTTAAGTGATCAACATGGACACTCCTCTAGTTCCATGTGATTTCTTCCTGAACTTCTAATAAGGAGTCCAAATAACTGTTTCCCCATCATCATGACTACCATAAATTTTTGTTTCCCAGTTGCATGCAAATTGGAGACTCTCTTTTCACCCCATGTGTTGTGAATTTCTGTTCTTCTTCATATGCTCCGCTGATGGACTGGTTTCTATTTTCATCATGGGAACAATATTATACTTCAAAGAAGTCCAAACATTGCTTTTAAGACATCTGTGGAAAGAAGAGTGAAAAAAAGTGAGGGCTGGATGTGCTAAAATTGTTAAAAGCTCAAAAAAAAAATTCCTTACTGGAAGAAGAAATAGAAATCCTTGTTCAATGGAGCTTTGCTGATTTGGGTGAAGATCGAGGCTTTGTTCATTGTAGGGAGAAGGTGAGTTGAAATACTCAAGACTAAAAAGAAGAGACCACTGAAAAGAGAAAGCTACTGAAGTGAAATAATTTTGTTTTTAAAAATGGCATCCAGAAACCTTATCTTTGACACATAAGAACAGACACATAGCCAAATATGCTGTAACCTGCTTAGGTTTCCAAAGCAGCAAATTAAACCAGTGGACTATGCAGTGAGTGTCCATTCAGATGAGCAAAGCTCATTGAACACAACAATACTGTAAGAGAACATGTTGAATACTCAATGCACCAAATAATCCGCTTTCGATACAGAGACAGTCACAGCTTTGGGAATGAGGCAGGAGCGGTGGTTGTGTGACTGGAGGGGGGGAGACGGGGAAAACATTCTGGACTGGAAAAGCATAAGCAAAACTACTCTTTTTACATTGTTTTATGTTTTCTTCTACTTATATTTTTAATATATTGATAGAAAATCTTATTTCTGGGCAGGACATCTGCCCCAGGAGTTGGTTGACTTGGACTTTCTGGATGGAAGTGTTACTTCATAGAGAGTTTTTATCAAAGAATTACAGAATCATGGAATACTCTGAGTTGGAAGGAACCCACCAAGCTCCTGGCCCTGCACACACACCCCAACAATCCCACCCTGTCACTGTGAGTGTTATCCAAGCACTCCTTCAGTTCCAGCAGCCTTGGGGCTTTGCCCATTCCCTGGAGAGCCTGGGCAGTGCCCAGCACCCTCTGGGACAAGAACCTTTCCCTGATATCCAACCTAACCCTCCCCTGACACAGCTGCAGCCCTTGGGTGATGAAATGTTCCATAGGTCTGTGAGACCTTTGGGTGCCTCAAGAGAATCATCTCACTTGCTGTCTCTCTCTCCCTCTTCACAGGAATATGAAATATCATTCAGGGTGGTGCCAAACCCTGCTAGACCAAATCACAGAAACCTTCTCAGGCATAGTGAGGAAAGACACCCAGAACTGCTGCATTGGTTGAGTTGGCAAATCCCATGTGGCTGCACTGCAGCTTCATGGAGCCTTTGCTTTAATTTCAAACAGCCTCATGCAGGACACAAGGCTTCCCCTTCTACTTCTGGTAAATGCCAAGAGCATCAATGAAAAAACACACTGATGATAACCCCAAGTGCCATTTATTTGTTTAAACAAGGGCTTTGACCTTGTTTATATGCTCTATGTAAGACCTGGTTCCTGAATTTTCCCTGCTGTGGAGTTTCCTCTGTGGCCTTGCACCAGGGGAATCTGTGAGAATCATTTCAGTCTTTTGGTTGAGCCAGTGTGACAGAATCCAAGGTGGCTCACTAGGAAGTGTGCTTTGTGGCTGAGCAGTCCCTTGGAAAAAGGCACAACTCAGGAGATTTTGGTTGATTGGGAGATTTGGGTACGCTGCCATTGACATAAGCTGAGCTTCAGCCCTGTCAGAGCAGTGTGGAGTTAACAAAACAGCTTCTAATTCTGCTTAGGAAAGATTTGCTGAAGATTTAGCTTAAGACAATGTTCTGTAGCCACAGGGGATGGGTGAGAGAAGGACAGAGTGTCCTTGCAGGCCAGAGGAGGGCTTGTCCTTGCAGGAAGGAGGGCATCTCCCATTGCCCTCCTTGCCCACATACCCTGCACGGGGTGGCTGATCTTTTCCCCGCTGTCAGCATCGCCCAGCCCAGCCCAGCCCCACCACTGCCTAGGGGTAGTGTCTGGCAGCCTCGGGGTCCCTGTCTGGAAGCCTCACATCAGAGCTTTGTTAAGCTCTGCCCCTACCCTGGGCTGCCTTTGCTGGCCTGCTGAGGTTTATCTGGGTGGGTCATGCCCTTGAATCAGCCCCATCTCCATTCCTCATCCCAAGCCATCCCCAAGCCCAGCGGTGGGACTTTCAGCTGGGGGGCACAGCCGGGCCGGGAGAGCAGCCGGCTGCATCCTGAGTTAGTTCAGCTCGGCCCTGCTCGCCTCAGCTCAGCCTGGCTCAGCCCGGCTCGGCCCGGCTCAGCCTGGCTTAGAGCGGCCCAGCTCATCTCGACTATGCTCAGCTCATCCCGGCTCAACTCATCCCGGTTCGGCTCGGCCCGGCTCGGCTCAGCCCGGCTCGGCTCAGCTCAGCTCGGCTCGGCTCAGCGCCCCTCTCCCGGCACGGCCGGCGCTGTCCGCGGTGCTGAACCGCGCCCGCCCGGCGGGGATGGGGAGCGGCTCGGCCCCGGCCCAGCTCCCCCAGGAGAGCCGGGATCCCCGGAGCGCGGCCCGGAGCTCTCCCATCCTGCTCTCCCACCAGCCGGGAGCTCTCCGGGTCCGGGAGGAGAAAATTGAAGGCGTGGGAGTATAAAAGCCCCCAAAAATTAAATAGATGGGGGTCTTCCTGGAATGGCAGCCGGCCCCACCGCAGCCTCCTCCCCAAATCCCCTCGATCCCCCCTCGGCGGACAAGTTTCAACCCCGCCCGCAGCCCCATCCCGCGGCCCTTCCCGGTCTCACCCTCCCTTCCCACGGGCCAGGCTCCGTCTGGCCGGAGCTTAAGCCCCTCCTTTTTGCCCCCGGCCCCTCCCCTTCTCTAATTATGTACAAAACACTTCTTAGAATAAAATGGCCAAGCTGGGGCTCCGCCTTGCTTTCCTCTTCCCCATTCATCCTCTCTAGCCCGCTCCAAGCCCCTCCCCCGGTGACAAGCCCAGCCTCTCGCTTCCCTCCTGGAGCTCTTTTCATTTTTATTTCTAACCCCCTCTCCATTCTCCCTGCTGCCTCTGCTCTTTCCCCCGATGGCTACGAACTGAGCAGCAGAAGAGAGGGGGGGGCACAGGAAGGGGGGGAAAAAGGCAAGAAAAAGGAAAAGGAAGAAAGGGAGAAGCGGATTTTTTTTTTTTCCTTGCCTCTGCCCTTAATGCCCGCGATCTGGATCAAGGAAGGGGATTTTCTGTCTGAGCATGAAAAGGACTGCTAGAGCCCCAGGATTTTCACGCCTGCAGTATCAGCCCCGCACCCAGTATGCGAGCTGGACAGAGAAGCTCTCCCACAAGTTCCTACCGAGCCGAATAAAACCCACGGGCGAGCCGATCTCCGCCACAGAGGGACATTAGCATCAGGTAAGGCGAGCGCTGCGCTGCGGCTGCGGCGCTGCCCCTGCCCGGGGCCGGCTCCCCCGTCCTGCCCGCGTTGTGTAACAGCCCCTGCGCCCCCCCTGCCCGCACCCCCGCCCCGGGCTGACCAGGGGCATGGATGGCCAGGTCCCGCAGCTCCGCCAGCCGTTCTGCACGCGTGGTGCTGGGCGAGGGGCCGAGATTCGCGCACTGGGAAGGATGGGAGCGCTGCTTTTTACCGGGGCAGCCCCCGCGGAGGATGGCCGGCAGTTGGGGTTCAGCCCCGGCCGCTGGGCTGGCGGCGAGGCGGGGTGGCGCTGGGGGTGGGAGGCAGCCAGGATCCATCTGTATTCCGGAGTATCGATACATCCCGGAGCAGGGGGGGACCGTCCCCGAGGAGATGGTGTCATCTCCACTTAATCCGCTGCTCCGCTTTCGCAAGTGACAAGCAAATCGCGGAGGAAAAGGAAAGTCTGTCGCCTCGAATCCCACACTGGGCTGATTGCCTCCACTTCCAGCGGGGATGGGAGACAGCGGCAGAGCCGGGGGAGGGTAGGCATGGCGGGGAGCTGCACCCCGCGGTGCTGGAGATGGGTTTTCCCCACATTCATTTCCCCGTTTGGTGCTGCTTGTGAGGCTGGTGTGGAGCATAACTTTGCCTTTTCCCAGTCCTTGTGGAATGGCGGGACGGAGGGCATCTCCATGCCATTGCATCATCCCCAGGGTCCAGCACAGGCTGGGTCTAAAGCCCCAGAGACCACCTGGAGAGAGGAGGGGGGTTATAGGTGTGTGTGTTTTGGCTTTGGAGCGTTCCCCCGTGCTGGTACCAGAGCGTGGGGAAGGGGAGGAGGTGTCACTTGGATGCAGTCTCCTCTTCATAGAGGGAACCCAGCAGCAGATGAAATGCTGGCAGAACTGGTGTTTGAATTTAGCCGTGTGATTGACATCTGCACTAGGCAGGATAGAAGGGTCCTTCATGCTTTACTCTGGCTGCTCATCTGGCTGCATAATAATAATGTGTTCATGGCAGTAAATCTGCTTTCCCAGGAGTTGTAAAGAAGTATTTGGGAGACAGTGAAAGGAGGAGGGAGCGAGTGAAGAGGAGATGTGGCTTTGGTGTAAGGAACATGAAAGGCTTTTGAAAAAAAAAAATCCTTATAAAGGAAAAATATCGATCTGCTCTGCTTGCGAGTAGCAGACAGACAGCCCTGGACTATCTCCCTCCCACACACCCCAGACAAGCCACCGTGGTCTCCCTGGAGCATGTACACGCCAAGCACAGCCAGCACATGCTGTGGAGCTCACAGCCCACCCCAGGCTCAGACACAGCACCTCGGGCTCGCTCTGCCGTGGAGGCAAACCCCTCTCCAAGCTCTGCGGCCCCGCAGCTCCTGCACGCTCAGCCACACAGGTGGGATCCACACACCCTGAACGGGCAGAAATAGCTGCATTGATATTCTTATTATGTAAATCAAACCTTCAGAAGTTCACATGAGCACACACATGCTGTCTTCTTTGCAGGGCTCGCAGTAGGTGGTTTGTTCCTCCAGTGTAGCTTTCTCTCTTGTAGTTGGCTCCAAGCATTGATTTGGGGTTTGTCTGACTCCAAAGCCCTTTACAACTCAGCAGAAAACCCTCTACATTTGGTGTGTCTATGTTTGTTTTATGGCTCTTTGCAGATTCCCAGGACTCGGGAATGATTTCACTACTGGAAAGGCAGATGAGCAGCAGACAGGGAAGCAGGGAAATGGCTGGGGGAGCAGTGGCATTTCCATACTCATCATGCCTTCTCTGATCAAGAGCTGGAGTCTGAGAGTATGGGAAGAGCTCTGCTGGAGTTACATAGCTTTTAAATGTGTGTGAGTGTGTGTGAGCAGAGCCACGCACACATCTATGGCTAAAACACACAATGCAAGGCTCCACTTCAGTCTTACCCTGGTTCAGAGAAAAACCCTCCCATCCTCAGGGGACAGATACTCCCTTTGCATGCCCCTTTGATCAGAAACGACAGAGCGGGCACAGAGGAGATGATGTCACTGGTGTTAGAGGTGTTTAACATCCCCCTCTGACCTTCCTTCTCTTCCCCTCATTCCATAGGGCCTAGTGAGGAGACAAGCCTCCAAGAGCAGGAATATAATGAGGCTGACCAAAGTCTGTGTTAAAACTTTGGAGAGGAGGAATATACGGTGAATTGGCTTGGTTTAGGTAAAATGTGTCCCAAAAGAAATGGCATGGGATTTGTCTCTGTTCCCTCCTAACCACCACTGTTTACTACGTTGCAAGTATGTGTAAGGCGGATGCTAAACACTCCGTGGGAATGGGTCTGCCAGCAGACAATAGTCATTGTTGTGTGTGTGACAGAAATAGTTCAAAGGCAAATCCTCCCATCTTTGCGCAGGCAGGAGCCCCACCACCTTCTCCAGGTGCATTGCTCAGGAGAGCATGGCAGGAACTGACTCCAGAACCAGGAATCTGCACCCAGCTCCCTGCCCACCTCCAGGAGTGGATAGGGATTTCTAGTCTTTACCCAGGACTGGGTATTTACAGCTGATGCAGAGATGTTGAGAAAGCAGGAAAAAATTGATCAGGGAGGGCTGGGAAAAATTGCTGAAGAACATAAATGAGGGTGAAGAACACCCAAGCACCATGAGACACGGCGTTTGAGGGTGGGAAATCAGGGAGGGAAAGGAAACACACCCTGCTCAGTCCCGTTCAGCCCGGGTCAGCCCAGCTCGGCCCTGCTCAGTCCGGCTCAGCCTGATTCAGCTCGGTTCAGCCCCGCTGAGCCCCGTTTAGCCCAGCTCAACCCCGTTCAGTCCCGTTCAGCCCGGCTTAACTCCGTTCAGCCCGGCTCAACCCCGTTCAGCCCCGCTCAGCCCCGTTCAGCCCGTGCAGCCCGGCTCAGCCCCGTTCAGCCCGGCTCAGCCCCGTTCAGCCCCGTTCAGCCCCGTTCAGCCCGGCTCAGCCCCGTTCAGCCCGGCTCAGCCCCGTTCAGCCCCGTTCAGCCCTGCTCAGCCCGGCTCAGCCCCGTTCAGCCCCGTTCAGCCCGGCTCAGCCCCGTTCAGCCCGGCTCAGCCCCGTTGAGCCCGGCTCAGCCCGGCTGCGCCAGGGCAGCGGGCGGGCGGTGCCGCCGGGCCCCAGGAGGGGGCGCTGTGGCTCCACGCAGCGCCGGGCGCGGAGCGGGGCTCGCCCGCACCCCTGCCCGCATCATCCGTGCCCGCATCAGCCGTGCCCGCAGCACCATCCAGCCCTGCCCGCATCATCCGTGCCCGCATCATCCGTGCCCACATCACCATCCATCCGTGCCCGCATCATCCTTGCCCGCAGCACCATCCATCCGTGCCCGCAGCACCATCCATCCCTGCCTGCATCACCAGCCCTGCCCGCATCACTATCCGTGCCCGCCCTCACCCCTGCCAGCATCATCCCTGCCCGCATTCCCCGGCAGCATCCCCTGCCCGCACCCCTGCCCGAATTCCTGTCCTCACCCCTGCCTGCATTCCCCGGCATACAGTCATCCTCGTCTGCATCCCTTCCCGCATCCCTGCCCGCATCCCTTCTCACATCCCTGCTTGCATCCCTGCCCTCAGCCCTGCCTGTATCCCTGCCCGCATCCTCGCCCGCCTCCCCCGCCCCCGTTCCCAGCCGCGGATAAGGCGGAGGGGCCGGCGGTGGGCGCTCGGTGCCGGCGGGGCTCTGCTCCCGGAGCCCAGGTGCGGCTGGACGGGTGCGGGCCGTGTCCTCCCGCTGCGGAGCAGAGCCTGCGGGGAGCCGGCCCGGTGCGAGCAGGGATCGTTCACCCGGTGATGAAATGCAGCTACTTCTGGGACAGAGCCCAGCAGCTTTTCCGTGCCAGCAAATACTACAGGGGAAGTGAAAAATCACTTCATGCATTGGAAGTGCAGAGATGAACTTAGTGAGGCAGAATATAAATTACCCAGACCGAGGAAGCTTGTGCCCAGTTGTTTGATTTACACCATCCTGCTTGCAAAAGTATCATGAGATTTTTAACAACTGTAAGGACCTTGGCCCATTTCCTTCCAGCCACATAGAGCAGCTTTTCAGAAAGGGAGAATATCCACACACACAGATATGGCCTCTAAACAGATCCATGGACTGGGGACTGGTCCTGCCGTTCTCCCTCTCCCCTGGAAGATGGCTGCCAGAGCAGGATGCCAAGTTAGGGAATGGTGCTGAGCTGAGTCAGGGTAAAATATCTCCTCCCGGCAATACGTGTACTCCAGAGTGTTCGCCAAGTTAGGGAATGGTGCTGAGCTGAGTCAGGGTAAAATTCTCCTCCCGGCAATGTGTGTACTCCAGAGTGTTTTTGGATGCCAGGGAAGGTTTTCCCCTGCCTGCTGTGCCTCTGCATGGCCATGGCCAGCTGATGTGCTGGGCCTGGAGCACGTCTGGCCAGGGCTGCAGAGGGCTTGTGGCTGCAGGTGGTGTGGAAAAGAGAAATGTTAATAAGGAGAGAGACCTGGGGAAACAAAGTGGATATACCTACCAGGTACTTTTGTCTGGAGAGAGGATGGGCAGAGATGGACCAGATAAATGAGGTGACATTCCCAGGGCTTGGAGTAGGCACAGGACAGCTGTTGCTGGCTTGATGAGCTAAGCTATGCAGTGCCAGGGAAGGAAAAGTCCTGACTAGTGGGAGGGAGGAATGGGAGAAAGAGCAGAAATCAGAGGAGCAGCTGATTTAGAGTGAGCTGAAGGCTATTGAAGGACTTAAGTTTATTTCAGGAATGCTGGATCACATCCCAAGTGGAGGTGGCATAAACTGGGTATATGAACATGTAATTTTGGAAAGAAAACAAGAGTCAGGCACAGGATTCCCCTGAACCTGGGCTGGGGAGTTTAACACAACATTTACAGCCCCCTGCTTGGGGTGTTGTTTTCCTGCAGCCTTGAGGCAGGACCTGCAAGCAGCTTCACAGGAGAAAGATGCTTATTTGTTTTTGCTATTTGTTCTTCTGAAGTCATGTGTTCTACATCCATTTTAT